AAGCTATATTATATGACTTCAGGAGACTTAATAATCATAAATCACTCTAACTGTATTTTTATGATACTTTTATGGCGCTTTTGTGATTTTTTGAGCGTGAACAATCTGCCTAATATCAGACTTTTGTGCTTCACGGAAATAATAAAATAATATGTAGATACTATAAGTGAATAAAATGTTTTCATTTTTGGGTAAACTATTCCTTCAACAGGCTGTCGCTTACTGATAAGTGGGGGTCCGAGTAATGATGATAAGCTTTACGCAAATCACTCTATGCAAAACACGGCAGTGGTCACGCACACAACACTTCTACAAACGATAAACCGCACACTTCTGAAACAGACATGGGAGGAACCTCTGGCAGAGGCAGTGGCTGAAGACACGTAACGTTTAGTCTGGTTTTTAGTCCACAAACTCAGATAAAATTACGCATGGTAAAAAGCCAGGCTAGGTGCTTTGTGCTGTAGAAACAAGATACACGTTTATGTGACCATTAACATTTTGACAAACAAGTTGTCAAGCGAGCACAGGGTTTACGGGATGTAATAATTAATAGGATCAAGAGCTAACACCCTCTGACTTAATATTACTGGAACACTGTACAGGTGCATCTCAATAAATTAAAATGTCGTGGAAAAGTTCATTTATTTCAGTAATTCAACTCAAATTGTGAATATTTTAAATTTTCTATTGTTTTCTATTTGAATATATTTTAAAATGTAACTTATTCCTGTGATCAAAGCTAAATTTTCAGGATCAATACGCCAGTCTTCAGTGATGAAAACATCAATAATAGAGTGGTGCTGGTTAATATATATATATATATATATATATATATATATTTTGAAACTGTGATACAAGTTTTTAGGACATGGCTTGTTTGTGGCCATGTTGACGAAATAAAATTTAGAAAATATACACATTTAAATTATACAGTGTTTCTCTTCCAGTAAAATGGGCCAAAAATATTGATGACATTATACAGTCTCTGAAGCTTTGTCCAAAAAAATGCTCACTAGGAATGTCACTTGCCACAGAGTACCAAATCATAGCTATTTTAAAAAAGGGCAAACCCTTTGAAAGCTATTTAAAAAAAAAGTACAAGCTCTTTGATACGTCCTACGCCAAGTTCCTGTTGCAATAGGAAATACATTGACACAGGACTGAAAATTAGTCAAACCATTTGATAGGCTATTCAAATGGGTCAAGTTTGTAATACTCCAAAAAGACCCACAATGAGACGAGCAAAAATCTACACCAACTATGAACAAGAGGAATCATTTTCAAAGGCAAGAAATTAAAAATGTGGGTGCAATTCACACTACGAAAGGAATTCATTCTGTTTTTGAAGTAAGAGCATTAGAAACCGACAGTGTTCTTAATCTGCTGATAATCAGCAGCGGCTCGGAGAAACTGAGCACTTAGTGTAGATTTACAGCACACAGACGACCTCAAGACCGCAGGCTTGACACTTTCTGTTCACCTGATTACTTGTGAATCACTGGATTCCAGCAAAAGGTAGATGAACTTTCCCTGAGTGTGGGTTTGCACCTAATGTAAAGTGTTTAACAAGGTATGTAATTAGCAACAGTTTAAAGGTACAGTTCACCTAAAAACAAACAAAAGTTCACATTATTGACTTACTCTCATGTTGTTCCTACACCACATTATTTTCTTAAAACATGTATACAGGGCCAAAATGACATGAAAAGGAGCAAATGATGACAAAATTAAACTTTGGGATGACTAATTATAGTTACTTTAAATCATCGCTCTCAAAAATAATGAAAAACAATGTCATCTGACAGCATTGCTCCCAGATTTAACCAACTAATGTGGGCTGCTTAAGGATGTTATGATTAAATATGTAATCTTGTTGTGTAATCTCAGAGAACCACAGTCCAGAAGAATGTCTGGCTTTGCCACAAACCTGGCACATCCACGTCTAGCCGAGACACACGGAGTGTAGGAGTACTGAGCGAAACTAGGGGAAGTGCACGGTCATGTGCTTAACAGGATTAAAATGATGTTAATTTGACCATAGTGTCCTACATGATGTTTTATTAAGCTCTCAGAGAACAGGGCAGACGGCCCAAGTTATTACCCTACTTTTAACATACTGCAGCGAAGGACAATGAAGCATTGTGAAAATGTTTAATTTTCACATTGGTGAGTACAGAGATACAGTTAAAAACTAATGAAAACTAGCAAACAAACTTACTTTTAACATATTCTGAAGAATGTTCAAAAGGAGTGTTAATATTTTTTACAATGTTTTTGAAGTCTCTTCTGCTCACCACGGCTGCATTTATCAAATATGCAGTAAAAACAGTAATGTTTGTGAAATATTTCAATTTAAAATGACTTTTTTTTACGTTTTCTACTTAATAAATGTAATTTATTTCTGTGATGCAAAGCTGAATTTTCAGCATCATTACTCCAATCTTTAGTGTCACATGATCCTTTTTTGTGGAAAGTCTGACATGTTTTTTTCAGGATTTTTTGATGAATAGAAAGTTCAGCATTTAATAATTTTGTAAAATTATAAGTGTCTTTGCTGTCACTTTTGATCAATTTAATGCATCCTTGCTGAAAAGAAATAAATAAATAATAATATTCTGACTGACTGACTTTTGAACAGTAATATAACGGTGGTCATTGCCAGGGCATTGCTAGAGTGTTTATACAGGCAAGTTGAAAGAGAAAGACAGCTTTATTATTTGCCTGCTAAAAATTGTATCTCTTGAATTAAAAGTAATAGCACACGTCTCATACACAAAACACTGATGGCTCATTATTAAAATACTCTAACCCCTGGTATACCAATATTTTCCTTTAAAGGAGAATATTAATGCATTAATTCTGACAGCAGGAATGATTCTTCATATTTCAAGCTGAAGTTACATAAAACTCAAAGACACCTCTGAAAGTTGCACAAAGTAAATATAGTAGTCACCATCCAGACAAAAGAAAGAATACAATGCAAGTGAAATTGCATCATGAAATTCAGATAATGATTCAGACTGATTTTAACATCTCAGTGATTTGAGTCAATAAATATGCTTCCGTTCTTAGTTTTTTTCCCCAGCATTCCTTTCAAAGTCTTGATTTTATTTAAAGGTCCCATTTTTCTCAATGTTTTTATCTGCATCTTGTGCTGACCTAAAGAATACACAAGATATTTTTCCTCAAAAACATGACTGAATCATTCCCATTGGAAAGCTCATGTGGTAAATTTTATACTAAAGGTCTTACCGCGGTAGACAGTCTGGACGCGAGGGTCATCTCCAAGTTCCCCTTCAGGCCCAGGAGAGCAGGCACCAGGATAAAGACTTCAGTCACCTCTGTGAATACAGTCCAGTGCTATTGAGAAAGACACACTTTTTAGTTCAAACATTCACTGAACATTAAAGCCCAACAAGCCAGAGATCTTCTGCAAAATACGTTGGAAGTAAAGCTGTGAAAATAGATTTTTTTTTAATGAGATCTGTTTGCTATCTCTTGCTTTTGATCATTAGCTGCAATTTGATAGTCTTTTTTATGGACAATTTGATTGAACCTAGTCTACTCAATGGTGAAATTAATTTACAAGGTGCTAAAACTTAAAAACAGAAAAAAATAAGTGTGATCATAGTAGATACAGTCCATAGGAAGGAAAAATCACGTGAGATCTAGAAAGTCATTACATTAAATGGAAACAATTGTGATATATTTTTGCCATATTGTCCACACCAAATATTAACTAATTTTTATTTTATAGCTCTGCAGTCTTACTGCATGCCAACAATTGACTTGTTTGTGTCTACATCTATTTTTCTATAGAATTTGAAGAAATTTTTTTGAGACAAAGTTGATACAGAAAACTTTTTTTATTATATCTCCTGAGCTATAAAGGAGCAACATTAAAACCTTCCTCTGAGGATCACTGCATGTACGATTAGACCCTAAGAAACAAAACCTCTCCATTTATAACAAATATTCATAGTTTTCAATGAGAAAATCTCTGCTAACACTGAGCTTATCATCTTATCATCCAAAGTTAAATTCTGGCCAATTTTAGATCTACTGATGCCCTCGTTCATTTGAACCTTTTCCAAGCATCTGACTTGAGACGTATGAAGTTGATGACTCCGGTAACTGGCAGGCTGTTTTTTTCCATTAGGCTGCAGTGCCTTAGATGCAATGCAGCAGCAGGCAGTATAGATCAATACATAGAAGGAGTGCTTATCTTTAGACTCATTCCCACTGGTGCACAGCAATTACAGGCCTGACACTGACTAGCTAAATCAATTCTAGCATCTTTGTCAGCACATGGAGAGAGCGAGAAAGCATGGCGGGCACCGCTAACGTAATGGTAAACATAACACAACAACACAAAATCTTCTACAAATAGCAGCAAAAAGCACTAGTTAAGGAGTTTGAGTGGCGCAGCTTCCAGTGGGTGGGTTTTAATGGCCGTTTCTTTTTCCTTGAGTCTTTGGCAGTGCAGGGGCCACTTTTAAAAAAGGACGAACATCAATTGGGAGCTGGCACCCAGCCACTTTGTCTTCGGTTCCCTTTGAGTGAACCTCCTCTACTCTGTCTATCTCCCTCCCCCAGTACGATGTTGTCTTCAGGAAACAGCGCAGTCCTGGCCAATGCCTCCATTTGCCTCCTAGGGTTCTGCGAACTTGACGCACAGCAGTGCAGGCATGCAACCAAAGGGGGGGGGGGCTCGGATTGCAGGATTGTGTAATGTTGGCTGGCAACGCTCCTCGGTTCCAGCACCTTGGTCTCCAAGGCTCAGCGTGTAAGGTCACAGAGGAATTCTGAAGACGTTCTACCAACCTGGGTTGTGTTTAACACCGGTGAACCAGCAGTGGTCTATGTGCATGCTACGATTTTCAAGATAGTTTATCAAAAAAATAAATTACTCAACCTCATGTTGTTTCAAACCTACGCTCTTTAAAATAAGGTTCCTAAAGGGGAGTGATAACATAAAAAAAAACATTTTGAGTTTCTCAATGAGCCTTTCAGCAGAAACTTCTTAAAAGAGCCATATTTTCTTATTGTAATGTACATTTTAATTATCTAAAGAACCTTTTTCCACTATAAAGAACCTTAAGTGGCTCTATGGATGTTACAGGTTCTTCATGGAACCATCAGTGCCAATAAATAACTGTTATTTTAAAGAGTGTATGACTTTCTTTTCCTCTGTGGAATACAAAAGAAGATATTTTGAAGAACATTAGGGTTCATTTACTTTCATTGACTTTTTTTAATACCTTCTTTTATGCTCTGCGGAAGAAAGAAACATGAGAGTGAGTAACTTAATGATGATTTTCATTTTTGGGTAAACCCTTTAATAATCTGGAAAATGAGATTATTTCTTGCCCATCGCTCAACCAATTTTGCATGTGAGTGTTTCCATGTGGTTTCCAGTGAATTCTATTGGGTTGCTAGAGTATTGCGGGTGGTTGCTTACTGACTTAAGTCTATGGGACGTAAATTGTATTAGTCTGCTCATTTAAAAAGTAAAAACAACAAGCCACATAATTTGAGGCATGATTTACTGTGTGTCCATAGCACAAACAATGCTGTTATGGTTAACTAAAACTAATAAAACTTTTAAAAAATTGTTAACTGAAATAAAGCTGAAATAAAAATAAAAATATTAGATGAAAAATAAGACTACCGTGGTTAGTAAAACGATTAATCGCGATTGATCACATCCAAAATAAAAGCTTTTGTTTACATAATATATGTGTGTGTGCGGTGTATATTTATTAATTATATATAAATACACACATGCATGCATATATTTATAAAAATATGATATGTGCATATATTAAATATATGTATATATAAATTATATGACTATAAATATATACATGTAAATATTTTCAATATATATAATGCATGTCTGTGTATTTATATATGCATAATAAATATACACAGCACACACACATTTTATGTAAACAAAAACATTTATTTTGGATGTGATTAATCATGATCTTGAAACACTATACACACAATGACTAAAGCATATAACAAATTAGTAAAATAAAAAAAGAAAACTGAAAATATATTTGAAAAAAGCTAATTCAAAATATGAATAAATACCTGAATACATATAAATGTGTAACACTGCAATGTGGGATGAACTAGGGCTGCACAATTAATCGAATTTCTAATTGGGATTACAATTACTGATGCCACAATTATGTAATCGTTCAAAGCGACAATTAATCGTTCAAAGTCCACTTATGTTATTCTGCATGCTTATGAAATGTTTTTTCCTTTCTACATGTTATCTTAAGGGTTTTTCCGTTGTTTTAGTTTTAGTTTTAGTATAACATTATAATACCATTCATATTTGTACTTTTTTTATAATTTAAAGAAGAAACCAATCCGATGTATATTTGACATTTGAGGCTTAATACTATAGAAAAGCACTAAAGGTTTTTCAGTTAGAGTGTTTTCAGCTTGTTTATTTTTATATAAAAATACGGCATGCAGTTGCATCAAACAATGGTATAAACATCATTCGATGTAAATTGTGATCATCGTAATTAATAATTGCAATTACAATTTCAAGGGAATAATCGACAATTATGATTTTTGTCATAATCGTGCAGCCCTAGGATAAACAAGATAGAAGGATATGTAAAAAGAAATATGTAAAGGATATGAACACACCCTAAACCCGGGGTGTCAAGTTAGAACTGAACTCTACAGGACAGTAGACCTCCAGGAACAGGACAGGGCATCCCTGCCCTAAATCCTAAGTTATATTGACACTAGCCTTAGTAGCGTGGCTACATATTAATTTAAAATCTTACATGTTAACTTTTTAAGGAACTTAGATGATTTATAGCAGTTTAGCAAACAGAACAAGTCATTTGTTTGATCTTTGAGACACTAGCACAATTTCGGCACCTGTTCCTGTCCACAGTTACTCTACAGGATATCTGGCACAAAACTCAAAATCAGTCAGCTGCACTTGTGAATCATAGAAGCCAATGATAGGATCAAACATTAAAGTGAACTACACAGAAATTCACTATAAGATCTCAGCTGACGGAAGGTTAAGACAGGACAGGTTATGCTTGTCTGTCTGCATCGAATCCTGTCAAAATGAGTTGACGGTGGATGTGGTAAACCCTAACTGGCTTCCTGTCGGGCCTTAGTGTTTAGTCTGTTGTCCTTGTGGTAAAAATAGTTTCACACATTCAGACTTTAGCACAAACAGGTCTGACTAGAGGTTTTCTAGCACAATACATTCCACATCAGCTGGGTAAAAAGCAAAATCACCAAGTCGGCTGAAAAACACGTTTCCATGCTGGTTAAGACTACAAAGGGTGTGGAGCTCTGGACTGTATTATGTATTATTATAGTGAAGTAAAACCTCATGGCTTCTACAATGCTGTACGTGAATAACATCTAGTGAAGTCTCTTTCACAATTGGTTATAAAATGACCCTACGCCAATCCACAGGTCTACACCCTTTCCTCAAAAAAACAACAATAAGTAATAAACTCTTTGGATTTTTAAATATGTGATTTCTATCTTTCAAAGAGGAAACTGAGGAAGTGAGGTAAGCATTACATGGAACAACACGCCTCTTCAGAGACTCTGTACCCACAATGTTTTTGGAAAACCCCAAGCGGTTAACCATTTTTGCATCTACCAGGGTACAACAGGAAGTCATATTGTATCTGTAGAGTAACGCATTTTCTGTAGGTAGTACAGATTACCCACTTACACTCTTAAAAATAAAGGTTCTTTATTGGCATCTATGGCTCCATAAAAAACCTTTACAAGTTCTTAAAAAAAGTGTAAAATTGTTCTTTATAGTTGAAAAAGCTTCTTTAGATTATTCAAATATTCTTCACACTAATAAAAAATGGTTCTTTTAAGAACTATTCACTGAAGGCTTTTTTGGGGAACCTAAATGGTATCTTTTATGGTATTGCTGACTGCTGCCTTTATCTTTATTAGGCTGACCTTAAAAATATATGTACAACCTGTCAGCTGGAATGTGCTCTTTATTTTTAAATAGACCAACCATAAAAACACACATACAGAAAGTAAATCTATCTATCTATCTATCTATCTATCTATCTATCTATCTAATGCATTTCAGAAACACCATTACACCCTTCCACATGCTGTTAGGGGCAACTCTTAGCGTGGAACAGCATGTGTTCACTGCTTATTTGGAAAGAACCTGTTTTCTGAACAGCTTCTGACATGCTCTGTTGCTCTTAGTACCAGGTAGCATTTGAAAAACCCTTACCGATGGCATTCTGTCAGTGGCATCACAAGCATGCAAAACCTAAGAATGAGTTGCTATAACATTTTAACATTTATAAAGGTCATGCTTTAATAGAGTGCTTCTTTAAAAAGAAATAAGATGAAAAATACACTCATAAAAATAAAGGTTCTTTATTGGCATATATGGTTCTATGAAGAACCTTTTACATCTTTCATTAAACGCACAAAAAACATGACAAACCGCTGTAAAAAACAAAACAAAACATTGGAACCTTTATTTTTAAGAGCGTACTTAAGTCACTTTCGATAAAAAATGTGCTGTATTCCAGAACTTGGAATATAAAATATTCACATATATTCAAATATTATGATCTTTTTATTGATTGAAATGATTGATTTAACTCTGTAATCCAACATTAAACACCAAGAAATTGGGTTTTACTCACCTGAACAATGTCCAGAACCATGCCAGCTGCAACTGTCCCAAACCCTGCCAGCAGGAAAGGGAACAAAACCTGGAGTCCAATAGAAAAGGACGTTTCCTTTAGTGGAGCCGGTGGCACCGGGCTTTGGTCCGTACTAGTGTCATCACTCTCGTTGCTTTGGCTGGCGTTCTCCAGGAGCGCGTCCTCTTCCCTCTGGCCCTTTGCGTTGGCCCGACAGTCGAGGACCACCATGTCCGGCCGCTCGTTCTCCTGATCACTGCGGTCTGGTATGGAGGTCATCTCTGTGAGTTCGTACTCCCCAGGGGTCTGGGGCACCTCCTCGGGGTTGTTGGGTAGTATAACCGGATGGACCGACCCGTTGGAGTGGTGGAATGCTGGCGGCACCCCCTCCTTCTTCAACTCTATCCTTTCCGTCCCGGCGGACATGTCGGACAATTTGTCTTGATCTTTCGACCAGAGTACCATGCGGAGGCCTTAGGATGTAAAGTGTCAATTAAGAAGAATTTAAGAAGCTTGAGGCTCTTACTTGAGTTTAGATCAGCCGTTCACCTGATCTCTGGAGATAGTTTATCCCATTAAAGATGGCTGGTGCTGATGAATGAGTCTACAGGTCGAGGAAGAGAGGCAGGTGCGTTCCCCGTCTCCAGGCTTGTGTAAGATCCTGCCTGAACTTGGGTAGCATGCAAATTAAGTTCCCCATTCAAAGCAAATTTTCCTTTAAGACATAACAACAGAAAGCCACATATTAGTCTGTGTGCAAAAAAAAATATTCAAGTGAAATATTCTTCACAAAGCTGATGTCTCACAAGCACAAAATGTCACATAAAGAACCAGAAAAATGGGTTTGAGGGTTGTAATGAACATCCACTGCTAGAGTCTTATGGAGGCACTTGGCTAAAACTTTCTAACCAGCTCTGGGCAGTTGGAAGGCTGGAGACGTCTCACTTTACACCACGTGGTAAATTGTTTTTTGAAATGTATTTAAAGGTCTCTGGAGCCAGGGTAATGTTACAACTCACTGAAATGCCTGAGTCTGATAAGGTCGACTTGTCACCTGCCAAAGGGAACAACATCTATAAGTTCCTACATTATTTTAGCTCTTAAAAAGTCTGATTTCTTCAGTTTCGTTCAGAAGTCATCATACACTTTGAGATAGATATAGCCTGTCAACCTACTAAATTGAAAACTTGCTGCTTTAATTTTAATTAAATGTGCAGAGTCATAAGCTCATTTTTATGTAATAGGTTAAGAGGATAATCAAGTTAAAATTCTGAAAACCCATAAACCTAAAGTTCTTACACTCATAGAAATGATAAGTTCATAACTTAACACACTGAAAACTTATTTAAACTTATAGATAGATAGATAAGGACTATGACATGATATACTTTTAAGATTGACGAAACTTTCTGGGCGATTCTTCAGAGAAACAAGCAACCAGAAAAGTCTTTTCGGCACGGCATAAGGAAGAGAGGATACGAGCCAACAACAATTTGCTCATTACCTCCACACTGAAACAAAATCCCTATTTAGTAGTCCGATCAAATCCAGCGCAGCATGGGACGACGTAAATTAACACGGCTCGGTGCTGCTTCGCTCTGCATCAACACCTCGCTCGTATATCCCACAGTAAAGAAACTTTATTCTGTTCATTTAAGACTTCAAAACTCAAGAGACTGGAACAAAGTGGCGAAAATACCGTTTTTTTAGGGACAAACAGTACAAACTTGTGTAAAAGTATCTGGCTCTTTTAAAAATCAAAGCTCTGTGGTGCACTCGAGTTCATGACTTGCTATGGTTTCGTTAGAGATGTAGAAAGTCCTTTAAAACACATGTACAATATAGGATCAGTGGTCTGAGGTTTACAGTTTTTGAAGATAAACTAGAGTATAAAGTTCTTTCTGGAACTGTCAAAGATTCTCTTGCGGTGCAACTGTTTTAGGTTCTGATTGGAAACTTAAATTTAGAACTGTAAGGGTTTAAAATTGTTTATAGTTTTAAATAGTTTAAACACTAAGTGTATATTAAACCATTACTTAAGTGTCATTTACGGCTTTACAAGCACATCATTGGAAGAGAGTTAATGCAGTATTCGCACATATTGCCAATGAAGCAAAATAAATAGCCTAACAAATTACAGTTAAGCAGATTTATTTGTCATAACAGGTAACAATATGGTATTAAAAGACCTAGGTAAATTAGTCACCTCTTGCGCCTACCTTGAAAAGAAGACACTAAAATGTTCAATGCGGACCTGCAGTCATTCTCCCGTCATTCAGGCGGAACTCGACACCTTATCTATGGTTATGGAGCCGGACTGAAATTAATCAGTAACCTCTCGACTGAGGCTGTCAACTCTGATCCGTTACATTGTTCTATTTGACACGCGCTCGATCCTCTCTGCGCATCTATATGACAGGAGGAAGTCGCTAGGCGGGCAACGCAGGCGAATATTACAAATCCTACTATGGAAAACGCTTAGCTCATGAATATCTAAATAGGTCGCACAGGCGTTGCTTGGTAACCATTCCGGAGCGTCCAGTCACGCAACGTAATTAATATTCATGAACCCACAGCCTTCGCCCTAGTAGAATTCGTTTCTTCGCGAACTGACGAGCGCACTCTTGCCCAGAGTCTTCTTTTCAGCCAATCAGAAAGCCGAGCGTCACGGCGTATAATTAACATTCATTAGACAAGCCTTCGCTTTAATAGGCCGAGCAGAGATCGCGGGATTCGTGTGTGTTAATATGAGTTCATTTACAAGCACCAGGAAGCGGTTGATTTTAATTTAACAACACCCTGGATAATCATTTAAACTAAATTATGTTTGTCTTCCTGAAAATGTTTCCGACAGCTGTAAAACATTCACTGCACCCAGTGCACCCATAGAAAATGAATCAATATGAATTATTCTTCACACTTGAGGAAACTATTAAAGGGGTCATATGATGCGATTTCAAGTTTTCCTTTCTCTTTGGAGTGTTACAAGCTGATTGTGCATAGATAAGATCCCTGAAGTTGCAAAGACTAAAGTCTCAAAACCAAAGAGATATTCTTTATCAAAGATAAGACTCTGCCACGCCCCTCTAAAACGGCTCGTTCTAACACGCCCCCACATGTCTACCTCACTATGTGGAAATATTTGCATAATCAAATCCAGCGCAGCATGGGACGACGTAAATTAACACGGCTCGGTGCTGCTTCGCTCTGCATCAACACCTCGCTCGTATATCCCACAGTAAAGAAACTTTATTCTGTTCATTTAAGACTTCAAAACTCAAGAGACTGGAACAAAGTGGCGAAAATACCGTTTTTTTAGGGACAAACAGTACAAACTTGTGTAAAAGTATCTGGCTCTTTTAAAAATCAAAGCTCTGTGGTGCACTCGAGTTCATGACTTGCTATGGTTTCGTTAGAGATGTAGAAAGTCCTTTAAAACACATGTACAATATAGGATCAGTGGTCTGAGGTTTACAGTTTTTGAAGATAAACTAGAGTATAAAGTTCTTTCTGGAACTGTCAAAGATTCTCTTGCGGTGCAACTGTTTTAGGTTCTGATTGGAAACTTAAATTTAGAACTGTAAGGGTTTAAAATTGTTTATAGTTTTAAATAGTTTAAACACTAAGTGTATATTAAACCATTACTTAAGTGTCATTTACGGCTTTACAAGCACATCATTGGAAGAGAGTTAATGCAGTATTCGCACATATTGCCAATGAAGCAAAATAAATAGCCTAACAAATTACAGTTAAGCAGATTTATTTGTCATAACAGGTAACAATATGGTATTAAAAGACCTAGGTAAATTAGTCACCTCTTGCGCCTACCTTGAAAAGAAGACACTAAAATGTTCAATGCGGACCTGCAGTCATTCTCCCGTCATTCAGGCGGAACTCGACACCTTATCTATGGTTATGGAGCCGGACTGAAATTAATCAGTAACCTCTCGACTGAGGCTGTCAACTCTGATCCGTTACATTGTTCTATTTGACACGCGCTCGATCCTCTCTGCGCATCTATATGACAGGAGGAAGTCGCTAGGCGGGCAACGCAGGCGAATATTACAAATCCTACTATGGAAAACGCTTAGCTCATGAATATCTAAATAGGTCGCACAGGCGTTGCTTGGTAACCATTCCGGAGCGTCCAGTCACGCAACGTAATTAATATTCATGAACCCACAGCCTTCGCCCTAGTAGAATTCGTTTCTTCGCGAACTGACGAGCGCACTCTTGCCCAGAGTCTTCTTTTCAGCCAATCAGAAAGCCGAGCGTCACGGCGTATAATTAACATTCATTAGACAAGCCTTCGCTTTAATAGGCCGAGCAGAGATCGCGGGATTCGTGTGTGTTAATATGAGTTCATTTACAAGCACCAGGAAGCGGTTGATTTTAATTTAACAACACCCTGGATAATCATTTAAACTAAATTATGTTTGTCTTCCTGAAAATGTTTCCGACAGCTGTAAAACATTCACTGCACCCAGTGCACCCATAGAAAATGAATCAATATGAATTATTCTTCACACTTGAGGAAACTATTAAAGGGGTCATATGATGCGATTTCAAGTTTTCCTTTCTCTTTGGAGTGTTACAAGCTGATTGTGCATAGATAAGATCCCTGAAGTTGCAAAGACTAAAGTCTCAAAACCAAAGAGATATTCTTTATCAAAGATAAGACTCTGCCACGCCCCTCTAAAACGGCTCGTTCTAACACGCCCCCACATGTCTACCTCACTATGTGGAAATATTTGCATAATGCCGCCCAAATGTGCAAGCAAAGAAAGAAGGCGTGGTTTCAGTAACCGCAGTTAGTGTTGAAGCAGCCATGTCAGGGAGACGCCGTGTGTTTCTAGGCGAAAGCAAAAGCACTTTATTTGGCCTTCCGAAAGTAGATGCATTTAGGAATCTTTAAGATTACTTACAACAGAACAGCAATGCATTTTATGGACGACCGTTTCGTGAACCTAGGAGAGGAGGTAATTCTGACTTTGCTATGACAATCTGGCGCTTCTGAATCAGCTACTGTAAGTATGTTTTGTTATTAGTTTAAG